CCGTGCTAATATTTTCTTTCCTAAGCACAAGCTAGGAGGGGGGAGGCAAATGACATTTGTAATGATACCGCCACACAAATGCTGTGACTTACATCTTTGTGTCAGGTATCATGTCACTTACTCTGTAATGGTATGTCATTTGCATAATGATGTCATCATCCGCAGTTTTTCCCCTCCTTTAAGTATCATAGTGGTTTGTTACACCAGAGGCATTGCTGCCTGCAGGGAAACAATAGGAGAGGACTGGATTTCTTCCTGGTTTTTCTTTATTGTGATTTCTGTGGTTCTGATGTTTTAAAAATAAATGTTATTTGGCACTGAATATAGAATTTGAGGTGCTGCTTTGCTCTGAATCTGCATTGAGTGATCCAGCCATACTTCTGTGGGGAGGGCTAGATATCCTAGTCAGTTCTCAATCGAGAACAGCTGCTTGTCCAGCTAGATCTGCCAATATGACTTCTTTTGACCTTGCCTGATTTCCTTCTCATTTTTGTGTGTCTTCCTTCCTTTTAAGGAAACCAGGCAGAAGTGGTTTTGTTTCCCCATCTGTGGCTGGGATGCGATTCTAGCACTGAAGGAAAGTGCAGACTTATTGTGCGTATTCAATGGCTCGGGGTGGGGAGGCGGGTTAATCCCTGGCCACTCTGACCAAGCTGGAAATGCCTCTGTCTCTTTTGCCCCAGAAAAATCTCTGCCTCAACAGAGAACACAGAAATGATCAGCAAACAGATGGGCAGACGTGCTTAGACCAGAGACCAGACTGGGCTCACATATCTCGCTAAGCCATCATCACATGGTTTTCTTGATTGTGACACATAGGCTGTTGGATGAACTTAGCCACTTGACAAGATTATAAACCTTACGGCTTCACGATGAGTGTAACCCAGTCTTTTATGGGTCATTCAACAAGCTATGTTGAACAAAACTTACCTCTGTGGTTCTCTATGGGGAGGAGAGGGGATGAACTTAATCTGGCAGGGTGTTTTTTTTTTTTCTACAGCCTCCATATTATGTCCTTATTTTACTGCCATGAGAAACTATCTACCTCTACGTAGTATTAATCAAAAGAGAAAGGAATTATTCAGAAATTTAATACTAAGAAAACAGACAGGGTATGTCCACTTTCTGTGTGTCAGAAACTATAAGATGACAGATACTGTTTCATGATTGAAGCCCTGTCCATTTTGTATATGCCTGCATCCTAATACATCCGTCAAATGCATAACATTCTTTTTCAGTCAGTAAAACACAGGGTTGTATTGTTGAGACAAGCAGACATAGAGATGGATATAAATAAAACGTGGGTTAAATAATTTGTGAACTCTGCCAATAGAAGGCATCTTTCCCCATAAAGAGTCCAGTATTCCTTGAAAGACAAGTGGGAATGAGGCATAAAAAAGAACAAACTGGAGAAACCTCTCCATATCTGCAAGGGGAAATGGAGATTTCTAAGGAAATTCCTCACATTCCAGATACTTTGGAGGCAGGGAAGAAGTCTGACAGTTGAGGACCCAGGCAAAAGAGACAAGCGTTACAGTGGGCAAATTTAGACTCCTCCAATCCTTCCTTGGGCTCTGGAGCAAAGATCAGTTTCCAGTCTCTGTGTGTGGGGGGTAGATGAGTCTGTGCATATGTGTGCATGTGTGTTTATGCAAATGGTCTGACAGAATCTCAGCCGCTTGACTTCAATTTAGAGCAGAGCAAAAGCTGACAATTTTTACCTAACCTTACAAGAATTAATGATGGGTATGGAATACTCCAGTATTCGGTTTAGACTGCCATAACAAGAATGTGTTGTGCCATTTTTTCTTCTTCTCATTATCAATAATGTGATCTTATTCTGCATACTTGCAGAAAATAAAGCTTGACCATACCCAAGTCCCAAAGGGGTGCAGGTAAGGATCAGAGCTGGAAAACACATTGCCAAAGCAAAGACTTTGTTCCAAAATTGGTCTCCCAACCTTCTTTGAAGAATATTCTACCAAATTGCACACAGAACACCTCCAGAAATCCATAAATCTGGAGACGCCATCGAGGGCGACACATGACATGTTAAGAATAAACAGCATGCGAGGGTAAGCTGCAGTTGCGTGATTTGTGCTTTGGTGAGCAATGATCCCAATCATTGTCCTTTTATGGGTCAGCATATCATGTAAACCAGAAATCAAGTTCATTTCCTGACCACAAGCAATCGAAGATTTAACCAATCAATGCCCTTTCGTGTTTCCAGGAGCTTGTGCTGCTGAGAACATACAAGTAATCCTGAACTTTCAACCACAATTGAGACCAGAATTTCCACTGTCAAGCAAGGCAGTTGTTAAGTGACACCCAATTTAACAGCCTTTTTTTATGTGTCATGATCAAGCGAATCACTGCAATTGTTAAGTAATCATGACATTGTTAAGCGAATCCAGCTTACCCATTGACTTTGCTCATTGGAAGCTTTCTGGAAAGGGTGCGCTAATGGTGACCACATGACCCTGGGATGCTGCCTAAATACATACCGGGTTGCCAAGTGCCCGAATTTTGATCACATGACCATGGGGATGCTGCAACGGTTATAACTGGGACAACTGGCTGCAAATCACTTTTTTCAGTGCCACTGTAATTTTGAATGGTCATTAATGAATGGTTGTAAGTTGAGGATTACCTGTACAGCAGGGGTCCCCAACTCCCGGTCGATGAACCGGTCCCGGGCGGTGGCATGCCAGCAACTGGACTGCACAAACAAGCAAAACCCCATCTGCAGGATGCAGGCAGCACACAAAGTCACGCCCCCTCCGGTCCATGGAAAAAACTCTCTCCACGTAACCAGTCCCTGGTGCCCAAAAGGTTGGGGACCTCTGCTGTACAGTGAAGATTGATTTTTTTTCAATTTTTTCCCCATTTCTCTACAGTAGGCAGTTGTTTAATGGTCAGAACTCCCACTTTGTCGTCCCCCTCCCCCTCTTGTCTCCTTATCATGTTCCTGTGGCTTTCTAGCTGATTAGAGAGATGGCTTTGCTGGGTCTGTTTTTCTTTTTTTTTAAACGATCCATATAGAAAAAGTCCATGTGCTCTGGAAGAGGCAGCTATGGGATGTGATCAAAAAAGCCAGGATGGTGGCAATTAGAGCAACTCATTTTTAATGTGCATCATAAAAAAGCATGCAGCATTTTGACTGCACCAAGGTAGCCATCTTGATGAGGGGAGGCTACCTCCTTCCAAATCACATTAGCACAAAAATGCTGCAGATCAGGGATGACCGACCTTGGCGACTTTTAAGTCTTGTGGACTTCATCTCCCAGAATTCCCCAGCCGTGCTCTAGAATGGTTGGGAAGGCAGCGGTCTCATGGAAGATTCTTGTGTGAATCCGAGGTATCCCCTGTGGACCCAGCCTGCAGAGGCCAGCTACCCTCTCCAAGGAGGGCATTGCTCAAGACGCAAATTAGCTGCTGGCTGAGCTGGGAAAGGACCCTATTAAACAGAGAATTGCAACCCCTCTTGCTGCTTAAAAAGTGTGCCCCCACCTCCAGCATAATGCTCTTGCCTTGAGCAGGGGGTTGGACTAGAATGAAGATCTCTGAAATCGCTTCCAGCCTTATACTCCTTCTGAGAAAATGTCATTCACTCTCCTAAGTCTGTTCTGCACTTGCCCCAACTGTGCCACAGAGTCTGGCAACCTCTTTTTTTCTTCTATTCTGTTCCCCAGGATGTTGCGGTCAGCCAGTGACATTAAGTAACACTATCTTCCTTGTTCTGATGCCCTTCAGGGCCAGCTCCAGGTGTGTGTAATATCTATTCAGCTTTGTCACCTCTTAGCTTGGAAGAGAGCCAAGAGACTGGCAGTGGTTGGAAACAGATGTAATAGAGGCCAACTTGGCAATGGCTGCTTTCTGGTGGGTCAAGACAGACAGCTATTCAATACTTGGAAAGGCCTTTAGAAGTTTAGATAGACACATTTCTTAATTGCCAAAGCAATGCATGGTGCTAAAGAGAGAGGTGAATTCCCGCAGACCAATTCATTTTATTCTTGTAAGCCTTCTTGCCATTTCTGGCACCCAGCAAGGTCAGCCATGAGCTCTGACAGTTCTTCCTGAGTAAATCACTAAGTCTGGAAGGTTGGTGAATTAATTACTCTTAAGGGAAGATTGCTATTCTGGAACAATGACCCATCGGAGGCTGGAAAACATTTGGAAATTCCCTCTTAAAAGAAGGCCTTCTCACCAGAATCCCAAACCGATAATGTTCGCTAGAATGTTAGACAGACTCGCTGCTCGTTTCGGGAAACCATCTTGACAAATGAGGCAAAGATTCCCACAAGGAAGCTTGCACCTCCTCCCATCAGGCCAAACATAAGCCTATCGGGGAACAAGCTGACTAGGAGAGCTCAGACGGCTCCACATTTCCTTCCTGGCTGCTCTTGTACAAGAGCAGACAAGGATCGCTCCGAAAACCGATCCTAGCCCTGGAGACAAGCGGTGGATCCAACGATTTTAAATCCTGGCCCCCAAATCAGGCGAGGCGGAAAGATTCCCCCCCCCCCGCAGCGGATCCAACCACACCCTCCCACGCTGGCCTTGCCGAGCGCTGCCGCCCCGCAGGGTGGGCTTTGCAAGGAAAGGCCAAAGAGCCGAGAGTTTGGAGTGTCTGCTCCGGGCAGATCTAAGATGAAAATCAAACCCCCGCCGCCTTCCCCCACGTTTCGCGCCCAGCGATCCCACATGTGTAGCGGGGTGGGGGGTGGGGACCCTCAGCCTGTAGGAGAGCGGCGGCAACGTCGGTTGGTTCCCCAGAACACCGCTGGTGGCTGTCCCGGGCGGCCGGAGCCATTGCCCTTTTAAGGGGTAGCTTGAAACCGCGCCTGGGCTCCATGTTTGTATCAGAACCCGTGAAGAGGGAACTCCATGTTGTAACAAAGTTTCCTTCGCCGCCGTCTTTTTTTTTCTCCCCCTCCCCCTTTTTGTTTTGTTTTGTTTTTCCCTTTCCCCGTCTCCCCCCCGCCCCTCCCCCACCCTCTCATTCCCCCTCTTCCGTTTTCTTTCCTTTTATTTATTATTTTTCCTTCCTTTTTTTCCCGCTCCGTTCCGCTGCTGCTGGTGGGTGTTTTTTTTTTTTTTTTTAAAAAGCAACCGGGGGGGGGGGAAGGAAAAAAAAATCGGTGTGAAGTCCCGGAAAAATCCCCGAATCGGCGGCGGCGGAGAGACGATCGGAGGCAGGAGGAGAGCGCTCTGCACGTCTGGTCTAATGGACAGCGGACCTATTATCACCCAGGTTAGCAAGGAAGAGGTGAACAGTCCTCTGCAGGAGAAAGGTAAGCATTCTTAACAACAACCTCCCCCCCTCCTCCTCCTCCTCCTCCCACGCGGGGCATCGGCGCGGATGCTTTGGGGACCGCGTCTGCCTGCCTTCCTCAGGGGAAATGCTGGGGGGGGGAAGAGTCTCGCTCCCTCCCCTCTCTACAGGTCGCCCAAAGCGGAGCTGCAGAAGCCCGGCGGCCCTCTCGGGTTTGACAGATCGCCTTCGCCCCTCGGAGAGGAGAAGCGCTGGGTCTCCCTGCCGGCCTTCGGTGCCAAAGGCTCGAACCGGGGAGGGGCGCTTGCAGACTTTCCCCAAAGGGCCTCCGGAGTCACTCCGATTTGAGATTCCGGTGGCAAAGCCGAAGCGGGGTGAGGGTGGGGGGGAGTGGAGCGGCGGACGGAATGTCTTAACACGTGCGTTTCTTCTGGGCTTGAAGATGCTCCCGGACCCGCGTCAACACCGCGTCCCGCGAATTCCAGCCGTTCCCTAACACGGGCGCTGGTGGCGGGCAGAGCCATCTTCAACCCGAAGCCCGCGGGATGTCACACTGTTGCATTCCGTGCGTCCGTGAGTGTGGGTAAGGGCGATGGGAGCTGCAGCCTCACGCATCCAGAAAAAGCAAAGTTGGGGAGGGGGAGACCCATCCCGTCCTGGATGCCAGGGCCTCGCCAAACATCAGCGCAATCGCTTTGCACACGTGCGTGTGTATTTTCTCTGGGAATGATGGCAAAGTCCGCGCTACGCTTTCGAAACCTAACAGCGGTCGCTTCTGTCGGGATCTGCCAAAAAGGCCTCTTTTACCATAGCAGATCCTTTGGAAGGAGTGGGGATAGGTGAAGGGCCTACATTTTCTTTGGGTGCGTATTTAGGGCCTTTGGGTGCCTCTGCTGCCACCCACCCCAACTCCTCTGCGCCGAATATTATGGTAGAGGCTGTACAGTATTAGACCAGCAACAGGTTTTATTCAGAGCTTTCAGACAACCTGCCTTCCTCAACCTGGTCGGTTCCAGGGATTGGATTACACTTTCCATGTTTGGAATGGGAGTTGTAGTCTGAGCCATCTGGAGTGTGCAAGAGTGAAACTTAGTGCAAACGGCATCCTGTTGCCTGTCCTCCCTCCTCCCCCGCTAATATCCTGGATGCCTCTCCCTGTCCAACTGTCTGTCAGTCATTGTTTTTCCGGAGACTGAGAACTGGCCAACTGGGCCGTTCATTTGCAAGGGAGCTACCTTTTCCAGATGTTTCCAGCTGTGGGTTTCACTGTTGCTGCTTTGGAGGGATGGAAAGTAAGGACTGGAGGGTGGAGGCTGGCTTTTTAAATTGGGGATGGACAAAATCTCCTAGCAGAGACTGGACACTGCACTCCATCCAGTTTTGTGTCAGGTATTAGTCAATCAACCATAAGGCTCCTCTGTTGGAGAGAAGCCAGAGTTGCTGAATGGGGTGTTTTTATTGAAGTCTCAGGATTGATCTCTTAATCTGCAGGAATCCAGAGTCTCCCTGAGTGGTAGGAAGAGCAGCATTTTCTCATCTTTTGACATATGGTCTTCCACCCATTTTTTTCTTCCAACATGGCCCATTTGTAGCACCTAGAAAGGAGCCACTCCTTTCTCCTTATGGGAGAAACGTGCAATTGCTTTTGTCCTCATTTTGAATCGTGAACAGAGTTATACCAATGGCAGTCTTAACAACAACAACAAGAGGGGAGTGGGGAGAGAGAGAGAGAGTGTGTGTGACCTGTGTCTTTACCACTCTTCTAGACCAGTGTTTCCCAAACTTGACAATTTTAAGGCATGTGGACTTCAACTCCCAGAATTCCACAGCCAGCAACGCTGGCTGTGGAATTCTGGGAGTTGAAGTCCTCATGCCTTAAAATTGTCAAGTTTGGGAAACACTGTTCTAGACTTTCTCTACCACTTCCTGGTGAACATGGAGGAAGGAGCTGGTTAGCAAGGTTAGGAAATCTGAGGCTGCCTTCCTTTAAGAAATTCAGGCCTCTTTCCCATCAGATGCTATAACAGTGAGGAAAAAGGAAGGCTGGTTCTTCACTGCTGGGCAGACTGGACTTGTGAATGGAGGCATCTCTGGTCATTTGCAGCAATCTGAGGAAAGGTAGTTGTTCAATTCTTCCCTCTCTGATTTCCACCATTTGAGCCCAGATGTGTCAGGCCAATAAAGATGGAGGTGCAGAACCAGAAAGGAAGATGGGGGAAATGGAAAATGGAATTCCTTCTGACCACAGAAACCAGTTTGAGGAAGCCATGGTTGAGCTAGGGCAATGGCTCCCAACCTTTTCTATACCCCGCGCCCCTAAAACGCTTCTGATATATTCTCGCACCCCTTACAAAAGTTCAAAATAACAGCAACGAATTATGCATATACACTATAATTTTGAAAAGCCAAGTTTTCGCACCCCCTGGAATATCGTCTCACACCCCCAGGGGGTGCAAGCACCCCTGGTTGGGAACCCCTGAGCTAGGGAGACCACAGGGGTCTTGGAAGAGGGTGGCACATTTTCTTAATATATGCCATAAGAAGAGTCATATTCACTGGAATATGGTAATGTAATGCTTGGTAGAACTGCAGTTCAAGATTGGAGTCTAGGAGACAGTATCAGAACCATTGTAAGCAGTGGTTTGCACAAATTCTACTCTATCAGTTAAAGAAATCCCACCAGTCTACCTGAAAGTAGACATTTGTTATACATCTGAGTAAGCAAACCTACCTGGAGGCTTATTGGGTTGCCAAATATGACCAGCAGGCTCTCTGCCTTCAGACGTCCCATGTAGAATAAGACCTTGCCCCTTTGGGGCAATTGAAGAGTTTGTCCCTCTCAGTGGACCACCAAGAAGCTGCCTTATGTTGTATTGAGTTATCGCAGAAGGAATATTGTCTACAGTGCCTGAGGTCCTAGGTGTTCATCCTTGGAACCATAGAGGTGATGGAGGGGGGGGGGTGTCCAAGGTCTTTATCCCATGCCATGGAAGAGGCTTGGAACAAAAATAAAACAGTAAGCTAGAAAAGGCAGAAGTACAGGCAGAAAATAACCTGCAGGGATGCAGAAACCTCTCAAGTTCAGTTTTAACCATTGCCAATTATGTATGTGTGTATTTATGTATGTATTTATTTATTTACACTACCTATCTTACCTAAGTGACTCTGGGCAGTTTACAGATAATCCTCGACTTAACAGCCATTCATTTAGTGACCGTTCAAAGTTACAACGGCACTGAAAAATGTGAATCGTGACCGATTTTCAGACTTACTTGCAACCACTGGGGCAGGATCAAAATTAAGATGCTTGGCAACTGGCATGTATTTATGACGGTTGCGGTGTCTCCCGGGGCCATGTGATCACCTTTTGCAGCCTTTTGACAAGCGAAGTCAATGGGAAAGTCAGATTCACTTAACAGCCTGGTTACTAACTGAACAACTGCAGTGATCCACTTAACAGCTGACAAGAAAGATTGTAAAATGAGGCAAAACTCACTTAACAATTGTCTTGCTTAGTAATGGAAATTTTGGGCTTGGGTAAAGGAATCAACAACTTTTAGTGACTGGTGATTCCCATGTCGGAGTTCTGGGACAGAATTCATACATAATATTAACTGGGCTCCTTAGTGACCTTGGTTGTTTGACTTAATAAAGTCAAACCATTTTAGCCAGGGTTTTTTTTTTTTTCATAATGCTGAACCTTTATGGTTGAGTTTGCAGATCACACTAGGCCAGAAACAAGTGAATCGCATAATGGGTTTATTGTTGTGTGTCCATCAGGCGCACTTGGATGGCACTAGATGGGAAAATGTGGCAAACACCTTAGTCCATTTCTCTTCTCTTCTAATACTTTCCTGAAATAGGCCTGCAGTTCTGTTTTTCATAAGAGAAATGTGAATGGAATGTATCCAGGCTGCTTTGAGGAGGTAGGTGTTGAATAGAAGTTCATCTGGTTAAATATTGTTTCCTCTGAAAATTGTCCTAAGCATGCAAAGCCCAATCTAAAAGATTTGTTTCATTCTTCACAATACTTTATGGATTTTAGTGAGAGAAGGCTCATGTTTAAAAGTCCCATTTAGTCCCTATCTCATCTCTCTTGACAGGATAACTATATCAAGGTAAAAAGAAATCAATTTCTAGCTCCCTTTCTCTATTTTGAAAGGTACTTAATCATTCTTCTCAAGCCTGTTGTGATAATTCCTGCTAGAAGTTGAATACGTTCAATTCCCTTGGAATTTCACTGTGGAGAGAATTTATAAGCTCTTCGATAGTAGAAATTGTAATAGTTCTTCATCCTCTCACCGTATCTATCCAGCTCCCAAAGTTTTATGTTATAATTAGAATTTAGATATAATTATTTTTGTTTATTTTTATTCCATTGTTATTTTGATTAATAACTCTAGCAGCACAAATACCTAATACGCCTTCCTTCTCTTTTCCTCATAATAACAGCCCAGCAAGGTGGGATGGGCAGAGGGAGAGTGGCTGGCCCAAAGATTCTCTAATATTTATAATTTATAATGATTATGCTAAATTTATAATTTAATTTATAATTACCACTTATCGTTTATAATAAAAATATTTTATTCTGCTGTTTTATACAGTTGCATACGGTACTGCAAACGGCCCAACCTGAGGTTGAGCTCTGAATCAGGAAGTCTGATTCAAATGACATAACTTCATCAGGAGCGCTTCCTCCTTGAATCCCCTTCTCTTACTCATCCCATTTCCAATATGGATGATTATAATAACGGTTTACCTCTCAGGAAAATTGCCAGGATAACAAATGCAAATGAAGCAACACTAGCCAATGCAAACCAAGTCATTTGTACAGGTGAATGTGCCATGCTAGGAATACTGACAATTGTATTACTTTAATAAATTAGAATAAAGGCAGGATACTGCAAACAGTTCTTCTTCTTTGTATGTTAACATTCAACAGAGAAATGTGTTGCTTCTCTTAAAAATATGATTGAAGGCTCAAAAAAAAAAAGAGATCTTTCTACTTGTATCAGGCCA